GCTAAATAATAACCTTCCACCCATTTTTTGCAGCGTTTTATTTTTAAGAATTGAGAGTTCATAATATAGAAAAAGTGCAGGAAGCAAATACTTGAAAACAGTATGTTATAATTTCGAAATTAATCAGAAAACGGCTGTTTTAAATTACAGAAGTTCAGTATTTTAATATTTAATGGTACGAAAAGTCTATACAACGGCAGTTTAAATTATACTGGATAATTAAATATTTTATAAATACTAAATCTAAAGGATTGTCGTTAAAATACAACCAACACAAGATCTATACTAGTTTTATATTTAAATTGTTAAAAGTTTTACTTCGAGGGAGAATTGACTTTCCGCATAGGTGTGCGGTTGGTTACAATGTAAATGATTTGTTTATATTTTAAAGGTGGTTACGACAAAATAAAACTTACTTTTCCAGACGATCGCCAAGTTTATCGGAGAGATGACTGTCCTTAGGTTTCGTGAGATCTGCGTCGTAAAGGTCTCTTTTGTATCCTCTCCAGAAAGTGGGCATCATCCAGGTGAACCATGTCTTTGATAAACAATTTGCTCTTTTATAATTATTTGTCTTCTTCACACGGTCTTTCGGTGGATTTTTTTTTTGGATCATCTGTTTTGCCACTAACCATTTTAATAAAAATATAAAAAAAGTTACAATTTACGTAATTTTAAGTAAAATCTTGCGATTCATTCAGTGCTTTCCGAGTATCGACATATTTGTCGGTGCAGTAATGTTCGCGTTAAATTCACTGTTGCAGCGTCAAGATGACAAGACACGAAGCGAGCGCTAACCTGTCTCCTACTGACGATGCGGGCGCAGCAAACGCTCACTTTATAATGTATCTAATAAATGATATAAATGATTAGCGGCGGTGCGATGGTGCGTCGTTCGACTGCAACAGTCGAGACCGTGGTTTTAAGTTTTTCGTTATAGCTTTTGTTGAAGAATAGTGTATTGATTATAGCGCATATGATGCAGAAGCATTGGATTCGAAAATATGAAATTACTTAGCTTGATTTTATTATTGAAATATTGCATTAGTCAATCGAAAAATGCATAACATATAGTTCCTTTATTTTAAATTTTTAAATACATTAACTGCAGAAACTTGGTGTTAAAACTGCTTGCTTGATTAATATAACAAAAAGATTAGAGGTGATTTATACACACAGTAACTTATGCAGTCTTAAATGTGTGTTTCCTTTTATTATATAGAATATTAGTTTCCTTTGTAGCTGGGTAACGCTATTGAGGGAGTTTATGCCCAGTTCCGGTAGCATGTGATCAGTCTATTATTGAAGTGTTATTGTGGCGTGTAGCCGAGTGACAATGTGGCGAACACAATGCACGAGTCTATTGATGCTCCTCGTGAAGCTCGATTCAACCCAACATTCCCGATGTGTAGGACACACAGAATTTTCACATATATAATGCACATAACACATTGACTGCACTGATGGCGTAATGGTTAAAGTGGTCACCTAGTTACTTCGTGTTAACATAAGTATTTAGGTAAATACAATATTTGCATTCTCGGATGAACTTTTATTATTACCGCCCAAACCTGAGATGGGTTCCTCTAACCTCAGTCACTCGGTGAAAAGCAACGAAAGAATGACTTAACATATGACCGAAACATGGCTTTCCCACGAAAAATGAATACTAACCTTACTCTATTGAAATAGAGTTGAAATGGCATCCCATGGTCCGACGTGGACTCTTTATACTACTTATAATTTTAACGTTTACGCGATTATTTAATTTTTTTACACTTATAATGATTTGGTTTTGTGAGTTAGAGGTTTATTAAAACACTTGAACTCAACAACAATCCACATGATTGATTTAATACTTTGTTAATATAATCATTGTAAATTGTTTTCTTCTATTGATTTCTTGTTTGTTTATTCTTTATTATATACTAGCGATCTGCCGCGGCTTCGCACGGGTGCAAGGTAGATACTACTAATTCTACTAATGTGGTGTCAGCGTAGAGTAGTTAATGATACTATTTTTATGATAGGATTATTTTACAGGACAGAGGCGTAGCGTGGACTAACATAGGCGTGGGCGAAGTCACATCAGCGAGGCCTCTTTTTTTTTGTTCCACATTTGTTGACATAGGTGCCCGATAGGTAGACACATCTATTTTACCAAACATGCTTTGACACTTACACATGATAGTAAAAAAAACGAGATGGCGGAATATTAGAAAATATATTAGATTGTGTGTGTGTGTCTAATAGATTAGATTTAAAAAAGGTTTAATTTGTAACTTGCGTGATTTTAATTTCTTACCGTAGTACTTTTTGCTTTACTAAAGACCTCTGGTAAAGACTTGTAATGAATTTTTGCAGCTAAATCTGCTTCGATTTTAGGTATTGCTAAAACAGATAGTGGGATCTACTTGATACTGTTTCTTAAGTAGGTTTTTACCATTTTTAACTTAGAAAAACTTCTTTCTGTACTTACAGATGCGTCTGATACGCCTGTAGGTATAATAAGATTGTATGACTATTCTCCATCTTGAAGTACTACATCTAAATCGTTACAATGCTTAAAAAGCTCATTATTAAAGATTTTAAGTCCCCAGGCGTCTGTCCTAGGACCTTTTCCTCGCGAATGCAGTCCGTAGAGCTAATCTTTCCCTAGGAATGAGTGTCGTCTATCAAGCGGAGACATACTCGGAGTTAGCCAAGTAGGTGGTAGCTTGTGTCGTCCAAAAGATCAGCGGTCTGGGCCTGAGATGCAGCTCTTATCCGGTCGCTCATTAGCGTGGAGTAAACAGAGGTCGAGGTCAAACGGCATATCAAGTACCTCGGCCTCACTCTGGACTGTCGCTAGAACTTCGAGAAGCATTGTGAGCTGAAAATACCCCGAGTTCTTGGGCTGGCGGGCTCGCTACAGAGGCTGCTGTCCAATCTAGGGGATCCTCGGGAGGAAATTCGTCGCCTATACTGTGCGGTGATACGATCCATGGCCTTTTAACGGAGCGCCGATATGGGCTAAGCGTCTATCGGCTTCCTTCCGATGCCAAACTCAGCTCAATCAAGTGCAGCTAGTTGCGAATATTCGGATCGTACGAGGATACCGCACTATCTCCTCGGAGGCGTAGACGTTCCTGGCACGTTTGGTGCCTTTAGATATGTTGGCAGATACGGACACGAGGGTCTATGACCAGACTTGTGCGATCCGTCCGCGGGGAGGTCCGGGACTCACCCACAGACACTGCTTCAAAGGCGCGCGACTGAACCAGCTTGAAATGTGCGCCAATACGTTTTATGGTGCCATTCAACGTAACTGCGAAGAGTGGGTAAATAGGGATGAAGGTCGCGTCAGCTAAAAGTTCATGCACGTACTCCTCGGGCATGGTTGCTTCGGTGAGTACCTGAATTCGATCAGACTCGAATAGAGGGCAATGCAAGCACTACGCGGCCGTCTAAGGCTGCAAAATACCTCACGTAGGTTTCTAAACGTGAGGTCCTGCTAAATTGAATCAGATGAGTTTTGTCGCCGCCAGCAAATGTATCAAAACATGGCCGGGCCACAATACATAGGTAGCGATTAGGCCAAAAGGAGGGGGAAGCCTGAGGATAGGGATCATATAGGATAGGACTTAGTTAGGTCTGGCGTTGATCCAGGAGAGACCTGAAATCACATGGTCCAGGTCCTCTCAGAGTTGAACGCCGAAGAGCCGGACGTCGGGCGGGTTTTACAGGATAATATATATATGATTTTATGATGTTATAGTTTTTTTTTTTTTTTTTTTTTTTTTTTTATATTTCATTCTCCTAACTCCTACGTCTCCAAAGCGCTGGAGATCCAAGGGGATTTTCCAACCCGTCCACAAAAAGGCCCCTAAATAGTCCCCCCATAGCCCTAAAGATTCACTATCCGCCCCTGCTCATAGCTTTTAATGCCTGACAAGTCTCTCTCGTATATGGTCAAACTAACGGTCGCGGTTTTTAAAGGTAGTTACAATAGCCTCGCAGTCGTACTTAAGGGCTTCTTGGGAGACCCGAAACAAACACACTTAGAATATAAATGTGCTCGAATTAATTAGTCATCTATGGTAAAGTCTGGGGGCATCGTATTTATTAAGTCTCGCGAGGCCCCCCCAAGCGTGAGGCGTTGGGCGACGACCCACTTCGCCCACGCCTAGCTACGCCACTGTTACAGGAATGCAATATTTGCATGCCCGCTCCAATACTTCCGGCCGCTGCCACCTGGCAGACGGTCGTTTGGCTTCCGCATTTTAAACCTCTTATATCTTCTAAAGTATTCATTTTAATGATATGCTGTTAATAGCAGTTTCTATCTACATTAAATGAAAAACGTATTTAACGTATTTAATTGGATAAGGAATAATAATATATTGTTTAAAATTGCTTCGTAAACAACCCATGTTTTTGTAAAATTTAAAAGATAAAAATAGTCACCGTGACTTATCCTTAAGAGATAGATATATACCACTGCGGCTTTTTTGTAAATCTTTATAAAATATACAATTCCGAAGTACATTATTTTGGTCGATCTCGTAACAACTCTTAGAAACCATTTACTCACTTTTACATATTTTTATTTGATTGATTTCAGGCATAATAGTTTTATCAAAACTCGAACAAACGCTATTTCTGTTATGGAAAATGCGTGTCCAACACTGTTTTAGGCCGTTTCATGAAAACCTGTACCATTACCTTAGCCTTCTAACGTAACTCTAATGTACTAAGTTTGTTGACCTGTCAAACCTATGATAGATTTTGGTTTATTTTTTTCCAAAGAGAATACTATGGTTTCTGTCTTATGAGTCTGTGAAGACAAATGTCCGAATCGTCATTTAGATTTGTAGTAAAATTTAAAATGTGATAACTTACTTCTTTCCCTAACAAAATTCAAATGTAAGGCGTTATTTTTTACTTTATTTCGGGATATTTTTTATCGTAATTTAATGTCCCTGAAATCTTTTAAGATTTAAAAATTTTAGTACAAGCCAATGGGAACAATCGAGGAAAACGTATCTGGTCGATCAATTGACGCCTCAAAAAAGGAAATTGATACCAAGGTAAGTTTAAAATAGGATACTTCATATGCCTATTGCTAAAGGTTTAAAAAAGTACCTAAAGTTTAAATTCATTCCCATTATTCATTTAAAAATTACAAAAACAAAAAGTATCTCCCATGAATTTGTTGCACTTCGTCCATTTAAATTTGAGAAATTATGCGCATTCATGTTGTGTAACCAGGAAAATGATGCAACAAAAACAGGAACAAACGCTAAGCCGAATAATAGATCTATGAGTAGTCTAATAATATGGAACATTTCAAAAGCACTTGAAAGAAAACCTTGTATGGACTTAAAGGTAACGATTTAATTGTATTTTTATTAACCTTAAATGTCTTAAAGATATAAACTTTTAGAAAAGAACAAACTATAATGAATGTGTTGGTGCACTGCATATACCTAAAGGAGTTACATGCAAAGATACTCATATTTTATTACCAATTATATTTGTAAACTGTTATTATTATTGTACAGCAATCTTTAAATGTATATCTTAATTAATACAATATATTTGCTATATAGATTCTGAAATAATGTGAGTATATTAAAATAATTACATAAAAATAGTTTATTTTTGCTAATTCATTTGTGTAAATTATATTTATTACTTAGTCCGGCATAAGAACAGCACAGGAACGACTACAGCGGGTTTCGTGCGAAGGGAATACAACCATATCGCAATATCCAGAAGAAGAGCATCTGGTGTGTGCTTTGCTTGCCTGGCAACAGCTAGGGCATACCGATGCAGATAGTCTTTATGAGTGAGTATTATTTAAACAGCAATGGTAGTATTCAAGCACACAGTGCGCCTGAATATATTCAGGCGCACTGTGTGCTTGCTTTATGTGCTTAGACATATGGATATATCATTAATAAAACCTGTGTTGCACTTGATAAGAAAGAGTGGTATATCTACGGTCAGTTATTTAGTAGCAGTTATTCGTTTCAAAAGTAGTTAGATTTGTATAAAAGGTGCTCTTCATGTCTGGTACAGTATTTGCTTTTTAAAGCATCTCAATACGGACCCAATTACATATTCCGATTATAAAAGACAAAATATATGGTGAGAATAGTGAGATACATACTTTTGTTCTCAAAATCTATCACAAAATGAGTAAGCTTAACAACAAGACATCTGTGCCGAAAATTACAAAAGTAAAAATCATAATGTGTGTTTTATTTTGTGTATCGGACTTTTAGAAATTTATATATTTTAGGCGGATAGAATTAGCGAATCCACGAATAAAATTGATAACCTCTATTTACTTTTTTTATCCGTTAGTTGACGTCATTGTTAAAAAAAATATGTAAAAAACTGTCTAAAACTGTTTATATCGCGTTTTGTGAGAAAACCTCAAATCGTATAAAGAAAGTGTTGCAATTTTTGTTGCGAAAAATTTGCAATAAGAAGACGAATGAAATGAGACTTGTAAGAGTCCCGATTGGTTAAAATACTTTTTTTGCAAATTGCAAAATGCCGCGTTTTTTACCATTAAAAAAAAGCTTTAGTGAGAATGTGGGTTTTTCAATTAGCCTACAAAATTTCAGCAAGGTCGACTTTAAACTTTTTGTGCAACTTAAAAAAAAATTGAAAAAAGACCTTCGGGAGAATGGCTTTTAAAAGTTTTGGAACAACTTAGAATGAGTTTTCAACAAAGCTTTTGTTCATCGAGACTTACTCTACAACGTGGTAAAACGCTGTTTTATTCAGTTAAGTAGAAGTATTTACAACAATCGCAAATTTTCGCTCAAGCCGTAATGCCGGAGTGTGCGGAATTGGGCGTATATCACGGCTGCCCCAAATCAAAACCTAGTAAGTGTATTTTATTAAATTTTAAAGAAGAATGCAAAAACATAAAACGGACTATCCTTACAAAATAAAATTTATTTGCATCTTAGTCATTTGATTTGTATGTAAGTATTAGTGTTAAAGTAAAAAAGTGTCATTTATTCGATAGAATACTTACCACTGATTACAAAATGAATAAAATATTTCGATAATAATGTTTTATTCTTTGCCTCTGTCTAAAACCTAGTATAAACTATTGAGACAGAACGGGCGGGGTTGGGTGTGCTCCAATAGGCCAAGATCGCCTGGAGCAGGTCCAAACGGAGGGCGTGCACGGTGAATGGTCATGCGGGAGAGCGCAACGGTCGGGTAGATCCCCAAGGCAAGTCTGGGTGGCACTCCGCCTGTTCTAGATCTTATTCCCTACGAAACAGATAACTGAAAAACCCGGCGCAATTCCATCCCGTCCAACCCTAATCGGGAACTAAGTGATTGGTGCCTGCGGCCTCACCATCAATAGAGATTGAGGGTGAGGGGGAAGGGAGGGGGGCAACCACCTGCATGTTTGTGCCGTATGTGGGGACCCGTAAGAGGGGGTTGGAGAGATCCTGGTAGTTGAGCCGAAAGGCAACACACTGCACTGCAGACATTCCAAACTGGTGCTGACTGAAGTCGCACCACGACTTACCTGCAGATTGATCAGTCTTAACACCCTACAAATCCGCATAGTTGTAGGAACTATAATAGGATGCCTACAACTACATGCCCTGAACCGACAACTACACACCATTAATGCAACGGACAGTCCTCTTTGCAGATGATATCTGAAAGCAGAAGAAGAGGCCGCCCGCGTAATCCTGGAATGCGAAAGAGTGACACACACAAGGGGCAAGTATCGTTCCTGATAAAAAATCGTTCCTAGAAGTCTGTGAACGCCCCAGAAGGCGTCTAAGCTTCTGGAAAGAGCTTGGTTGGCTCATTTAGCCAACCTGTCATCTACGCATAAAGGACCTTTGAGTCTAAATGCGGAAACCGGAGCACACAACATTGGTTGTGTGCTCCGTTGTGTTGTATGTTGTGTGCTATTGACCAATACCAAGCAACCAACCAATACCTAGTGTGATCACTTGCTGTGTTTTGAAATAGGGATTTTGAATATCGTGTGATGTATTCTGATCATTATAATTTCTAGTATGTGCATATTATTTCGTAGAGGCAAAATACAAAATATTGATTTCTGTATCACTTTTTTGTAAATTTCAATTAAACAGATAAAATTAAATCAAAAGTAAGAACATAATCAGGCTCCATTTTCAGCAGTTAGACGTAAAAATATAACATGCTGACACACAGATAGACAACCAGATTGACATTGATAGTATTAGCAATGAATATATTAGGTCTTGTAAAGTAGGATCATTGATCCACAGAAATCGTAAATAATAACAATACCTAATAATAGATATAGATACTATAGTAACAGTAATATTTTTTTCGGAATTTGGGTGTTTTCTACGTGTATATATAATATGTATCTGTTTACAAAAAAGTATAAAATTATTCTATCAGTCTATCTAGTTTTCATAGTACAAGCTCTGCTTAGTTTGAAATTAGATGGCGTTATTATTTTATTATAATTTAAAATAATCTGAAGAATAAAAATTACATATTAAAAAAAAACAAAAAATTGAAATAATAAGCTATTACTGAACAAATAGTTATTTCACGTAACAATTACATTTATATTAATGTAGAAATAAGTTATTAAGAAGTAAGTAATAAATAGAGCAGTTTCCTTTTCTTTTTATATTTACATAGTCGTTAACTGTGAAATACCCTTATTCCTAACACTATGTTGGAAAATATAGTTAACTAAGTAAGTTTCTCTGGTAGTTGATGTTATCAGCAAATTTACAAAATGAGTTTATTGACCCGTAAAATGAAGAAATTTATTTAAAATGTTTTCCTTAACACCAGGATCTTTCGGGTATGTAGAAATTAATTATAATTATGTGAAAATAAATACTAATGTTACTATTTATGCTTCTTAAAAGATAACATTTTGTTTACATTTATCAGCATGCTAAACATTTATAGACTTTAATATGCAAATTTAAAGAAATAATTAATTTCCTAAAGAAATTATTGTATATAAAACAATAAACAAACTAAACGATATATGCAAGTTCATATTATTATTTATATAAAGAATATGAATCTGCATATATCGTTTAGTTTGTTTACGTTCGAAAACCTGTAAAACATTATTCAATATTAACATCGATATAAACTGTACTTTCATTCAAATGAATAGACCGGTTACATCACTAACTGGCGACCGATGCCTGTAGCCGTATTATAAACATACGCAACGAAAAAACGATATCTTCAGATTACATTGATTGGCTAGTTTGTCAACATCGCGTGCCATAAGAACCAAAGCAGCAATGGTAATTCTACAAAACGAAAAGTAATAAATGAATGTTTACAAAGGCAAATACCTTATTAGAGGATTCTAGAGGATTCGTCTAGATGTAAATTAGTAAAAACTATGATTTATTAGTAAAAAATAAATTTACCGATGAAATATTATGCCATTATTAGTTTGAAATACACGTCCCTCATGCGTTTTCACAACCCATTCTGCATTTCACCATTTTAACAATATAATTTCACATACGATGCTCCGCGCAACTAAATCACGAATGTTGTGAATTTCTGTAAGTGAAGTTCGTCTACATATCAAGCAAGCATCTATTCGTCTTCTAGTGTCTTTTAATTTAGATTTCTATGTTTCCACCACATTCTTTATACTAATATAAGAGGAAAGATGTTTTTCTTTGTTTGTTTGCAGGCTCCAAAACTACTTGACAGATTTTAACAATTTTTTCACCAATAGAAGGCTACATTATCAGGAAGTAACTTTCTACAACTTTCATATTCTACAGTCACATAGGCTATAATTTATTTCTAAAAAACTTAGACTAAACATGTGCAAAAAAACAGGTTATGTTAACAAAAGTGTAAAAAATCATCTCAAAAATTTCCTTTCTTCGCATAGACTGCTTAAATGGTTAAAGAAAAGACGAAATGCTAATGCTAATGAATTGTAGGACTAAAAAGATCCATAAAAAAGTTCGCGAGGGGGTATATCTATCTATAACAGCTAAGCTGTAAAAAGCGTTTTTATATTTTTTTAAATATTAAATATCCATTTGCATTCTTTCGTGTGATTATATAAATCCTTATGAATATAAGTATTTTATCATTGAGATAATTTCAAGCAGATATTTTTTTGTCTTTCCATCATTTCGTTAAGTCAATTGGTCAATTCGTTAAGTAGATATCATTTAATTAGGAACATTTAATTTCGTAGTTATCATGAGTCAAATGCTATACACGACCCGTTTGCGTACCCTTCTTTACCGTGGGAGGGAGGGATTAGGTCTATGAGTACGGTATCCGCGCGGCGCAGACGCGCTTTAGGCTTCTTACGTAGCGGACGCAAGCTATATATATTGCATTGGAATTTTAACATATTATTTGCTAAGATTTTCTTAACAAGTGCTTTTAAGGACTACATCTAAACAAAACTTTTAGCTCACGCGGGCGCGCGGGTTCAAATCTCTCAAGGGGTCTTTTGATGAGCTTAGAATAATTAGCAATTAGTTTAGAATAATTATGAATGGCCAAAGAAAAAGAGGGTTCTTTTTCTTTGGCCATTCCTAATTATTCTAAACTTTTGTAATCTTAATATTCTTTCTGGATTGCTTCACCGTATCATTAAAATCCTGGCAATCGTAATATATTTCTTTTTCATTTCATTTTTAGTTCAATGTTAGCGTGAACTGCGTCCGCAGATATGATTGTGTGTGTCTCTTCGTTAGATAGTTTCTGGTGATCGTCTCTATAACATTTGTTGGGTTATTCACTGTCGTAGCCAAGGCTTGTAAATTGTCCAATTCTTAGTTTAGGCTGTTTCAGAAAAAATCCATTACTAGGTTTTGATCTGGGGCAGCCGAGTACCCACCATCGAGTAACCACCACCACTGACTGCCGGCCGGAGTGCAAATTTGCGATTGTTGTAAATTGACTTATTTAGTATTTCTACTTCGTTGTAGAGGAAGTTTGGACGAACAAATGCGTTTGTAAATTCATTCCAAGTTGTTCCAAAACTTCAAGCCATTCTCCCGAAGGCCTTTTTTACATATTTTTTTTAAGTTTTGCAAAAAGTTTAAAGCCGATCTTGCTGAAATTTTGAGGGCTAACTAGAGGCTATAAAACCCACATCCGCACTAAATATGGGGTCTCAATATTGATTAGAACGCGAGTTGTAATGCTGTTTAAAAATGGTAAAAAAAAACGCGGTATTTTGCAAAGAAACTATCGGGCCCAATCGGGACTCTACAAGTCTTATTTTGATTGGCTTTTTATTGCGCATTTATCATACACTAGCTGACCCGCGCAACTTCGTCTGCGTCTCTCAATAGTAATAAATTTTCTCCGTTTTTAAAACATTCTTCATTGGTACTCCGCTCCTATTGGTCTTAGCGTGATGATATATAGCCTATAGCCTTCCTCGATAAATGGGCTATCTAACACTGAAAGAATTTTTCAAATCGGACCAGTAGTTCCTGAGATTAGCGCGTTCAAACAAACAAACAAACAAACAAACAAACTCTTCAGCTTTATAATATTAGTATAGATTTACGCTTTCTTTGTCCGATTTGTTTTTTTTTTGTAAAACACGATAAACCGTTTTTGACAGTTTATGACATTTTTTTAACAGTGTTCCCATGAATGGATCCGCGTTGAAATGAAATATATTAATCGTTACGTTGTCAACTAACGGATAAAAAAAGAAAATGGAGGTTATCAAATTCACGATTTTTACACCAATTTTCCGCTAATTCTATCCGACTATTATGGTATTTGGATATTTGGCTGTAAAAATAACAAGCAATGAATTATATATACTTGTACTAAATTCATTTTTATATTTTCAGTTTAGTATGCTTGTTGTGTCTACTTTTTTTTATTATTACAGATTTATAGCATCGAAGAAGATAGGAGATACTCAAAACAAGAATTCAGAAAATAAAAAGCCTCTCAGTACTGTGATCGTTACGTCGAATTCCTTTAATATACATTGTAATGACGCAAAATCATTAAAAGACATTGATTCTTTAAAATTCGGATCATATTCAAATGGTCCGGTTATCAAGTTGCCTGTGGAAACAAAAATAATTATGAGGATGGATCAATCTTCACGCGATACTAAAATAAAATGTCTTAGATGTAGAATGCGTCAAGAATCACAAGAGTCAAAATGCTCTTCGAAAACGCAAGGATCAACAGATACTACACAAAGAATAGATGCAGTGAGTAGCTAGTAAGCTTTATAATAGTGGAATAGACGTTAATCTTTAGGTACTCTATTTATTTCCCCTTTTGTTATTATTATTGTGCCTTTTTTAAGAGTATTTTTCATTCTAAGAGCAAAGGCATCGAATTTGATATCACTAAGATTAAAACCAACAATTGTATTATTTTTGTCGACCGCCAAACGGTAGGCATTAAAATATAATTTCATTTACAATGACAATATCTCCGTTAGGCTGTAATCAGCAATGTATTTTTTCTCCAACACGAAGTCTCCCAATCCTAAATTGTTTTAATAGTTTATTTAATTATTTCTTTTAGTTACATGCTTTAAAACGATATGAATGAAACAGCACTTGGAACATTATTCACACAAAAAGGGAATTATAGGTTTAAATGGACGTGTCTGTCTAATGAGAATATACGAGAATATATAAATGAGAATAAAACAAATTATATTTTTGAGGAGTCTTTTTTTATAAATATTTGCAGCATCAGCCAGGAACTTTTAAATTAACTCAAGTCTCTAAAGTACTATTAGCTTAATTAGCCAACAAAAAACCGCAGTATCACGTTCGTACTTGCACAGTATGTTTATGTAAAATTGAATTTGAGGGTTCGTTTTGACGTTCCTTTTGAAGGCCAGTTATAATAAATGTCGGAACCATCTGCGTAGTTATCCATAATCATTTACATAATTGTATCAGGCACATTAACTTTTGTATATGCATTACCAAGTAGAATTATTGAAGCTATGTTCATAATTTGTTAGGCATGTTGCAAGGAATCTGCGTGTTCTGAAAAACTAGCTAAAATGGATGCTGAGACGGCTGAACTTAGATCGCGCGCAGAGAAACTTGCAAAACGTGAAGCTCAAAGATCTGAACTTTTAGAACGCGCTGAAGCTGCCTGGAAAGATCTCGAGCGCGGCTACCAAAGAAGACTTACTCTTGCTCAGGAAAAAGAGGAAGATCTTACCCGACAAGTTAAAATCATTTCTATTTTCTTGTTTAAAAGCGGTAAATGTACCGTTTATAAAATAATTAAAATACTTTCAATGTTTGTTATTTTTTAGATAAGAAAAACAATGGACGATAGAAACGAATTTAAGAATTCTTGTAATACGCTCGCTCAGGAATTAAAAGAGAGAGGCGATGTCGCAGAAGGAGATCGGACTGTACTAAAAACTGTAGAAGCCGAGGTTTGTCATTTAGCATGCCAGCGTCTAAAGCTCAATGAAGAGATGACTCGTGTGGAGGCTGCTCTTGCTGAACAACAATGCAAAACTGTACAACTTCAGAGGGACTTACAGGTAATAAATACTCGTATATAGCGTACTTAGTACCGTAATTTGTGTTTGATGCATGTCTCGCATGTTTAAGCTTCGCTATTTATTGGTGTATAGGCAAGCTCGTTCTTGAGGGCAGCGGGATCCGTGCTTGATTGGGATCTCGGTAGTAGTTTTTAAAGAAATGTACAAGTCATGTATAAATCCGCGGATGGGATCAGGCGTCACCTTGGACTTAGCATATCCTTGCTTACGAGCTACTTTTTCCATATGCAGCGCTTTTTGCGCCTTTAGTCCCCTTTCCTCAAAAAGTAATAATATTGCTACTAAGTTCTGCAAAAAAAAGGATCAAGATAGAACTCGATAATAAATGCTGTTTTGCAGACGAAGTTAGTTTCCTATCCTAAGCCTTTCTGATTTCTTGCTAAGTCGGTTGGTTAAAAGTTTGGCACCAATCGCCTCTTGATACCTCTGCACAACCTTGATGATGATCTAGTCCGAACCACAGAAGAACAAGATCTGTTTGTAAATCTTCTAGTCTAGGCAGCTGTAATTTAAATGCCATTGAAATTCGGGCCAAAGGAGATACTTAAATGCTGAATCCAAACAAATACACAAATGTTTTAGTTCATCGGTTACACTGTCTTTGCGGACCTGGAATAAATAAATTAAAGTTGTAAATTCTGCTCCTTTTATAATTAATGTTGTCTGAAAATGTGCTTAAACCTGTGAACCCTTAATGACATTGTTAGTGAGTGAAGTGTGCATCGACAAATTGCAAAAAAACATCTAATAACAATCATCTTCAACCTCGCTTAATAATTGCCAAAAAACCCAATGTGTGTAAGTGAAACCTAAAAAAAACACTAAAACCTAAAAAAAAGAACATAAAAAAGACCAATAAAAGTGATAGAACATTGAAATATTAAAAAACAAAAACAAAAGTTAAGTGACATTACAGAGCAGACATTTTTTCTGCATGAGTCATAGTAACGGTCTACCTTGATAAAAAATTTTTAACGAAGAAGCAAGCACTGGACAAGTTCACCAATAATACCTAATACCTGCGTGGCTGAGTGGCTGCGGAGAGGAAATTGAAACTATCGCTGTGATATCGCGTTCAAACCCTAGCAACTGCTGTCATTGTATTTTTGTAAAAAAATAATTATTATAATATCTAATATGAACTTCTTAGAAAATATTACGTTTCGGCGCAACCGCACGAAGTCCGATTCAAACACTACTAATGACAGTGAAAGCATATTAGCTGAATCGCCGATAGATGGCACCACAACTAGCTTACCTGATATCTCTGACGATGAAGGCGACCAAGTTAGTCAACTAAAACAACAACTTGAACAGCTAAAATTAGAATTAGAAAGCGCTCATAATGAAATAGAATCTCTGTCTTTAGAAAATACCAACCTTAGGCTCGTTAATCAGGAGTTACAAAAAAATAACGAACTATACAAGAAAGTGACATGTACCCCCTTAAAATTAAAAACACACACACCAAAGAACAAGATAAAATCTTTAAAATTTAACCAACCAATTGACAAAAATAAGAAAACTAAATCTATAGACTATAACGAAACGGTAACGAGCACTGCAAACACTACACAACACATCCAGAGAAATGAAAATAAAGTTTGTATCATTAGTACCAACAAAACCAATAAAGTATTGTCAATAGCACAAAAAAAACTGAATAATTACAATATTTGTCACTACTTGAAAACGAACTGTGGAATCCATCATCTGTTTAAAAGCATGGAAGAAACGCTAAGGGATTACACTATGAATGACTTTTGCATCATATTAATAGGAGAAGACGACTTCACAGAAACGAGAGACTACTTTGATTTAATCGTTCATATTAGAAACACTTTGAAAAAAGTAGACAATACAAATATTATCATATGCCTGCCTACCTTTAAATTCAACAATAGTTCAAATATGTATAACTGGCGAATAGAAAACTTTAGTAACCTACTGTACCTAGACATAATGACACATTTACATGCATGGTTGCTGGACTCCAATCTACACTTAAGCTATGACAGTACAATGTTTAACAAACTGACAGGAAGACTGAATAATAGGGGAATGCATACGATTTTCGATGATATTAAACAGCAAATAAAAGAAATCGTCAATATAAACCGCACAACAAATTATGATTATAATTGTGAACAAAACAGTCAATTAAAGGCGATGAGTGAACTAGATGACAGCTCACAGTTTTTTCTTTAGCCACGAAATACATAGACAAGGTGAAAGAATAAGAAACCAAAAAATACAGCTGCCTAAGCTCAAAATAGCTTTCCAAAATATTCAAAGCATTGGAAACAAGGTGGATTTAATAGAACAATTGCTTGTAGATCACGAAATAGATATAATCTCATTATCAGAATTGTGGAAAAACGAGCATTATTGTCAATCGGTTTTGCCTCCTGGCTATAAAATTGGTTCTATTTTCTGTCGGAAAACCCGCGAACATGGAGGAGTTTGTATTATTACTAGAAATTCGTTGTATTCTATTGAGATGTTGGATATTGTGCATTGTTCAAGGGAATTTGTAATAGAATTTAGTGCGATAGAAATACCCCGACTTAATTGTATCTTCATAGGACTATATAGAGCGGATCGCCATATTGATATATTTTACCAACAATTGGACAAGGTTTTACATAAATTAAATACTAAACATTCACATAAACACATAGTAATAGGTGGCGACTTCAACATTAACGTACATAGCAAAACTAAACAATCCTTGGATTTTTTAAACTTTATGAAATCGTATAACCTCCAACAAATAATCCGCGAGGCAACACGAGTAACTAAAACAACATCCACTTGCATTGACCTGCTCTTTACAAACTACCCGCCTCTCATAAACAAACCAGCTGTTTGTGATTATGGACTGTCAGATCATAAAGCGGTAACTCTTCAACTAAACCTAGACTATCTCATAAAAAACAATCATAAAACGTGGTCAACGGAGAAAAGAATATTTTCAAAAAATAAGATGGAATGTTTTAGAAACTCGTTAAAAACAACAAATTGGGAAAGTATACTAAATAACAACAATAGTGTACAAAAAAATTATGAATCCTTCATGACATTCATAGAACAAAATCTCAATAAACATATCCCGGTACAAAAAAATAAAAATAAAAAGCAAACCTAAAAAAGGGTGGCTGACTACAGGTCTCAAAAATTCATGCAAGCATAAAAGGGTGTTAAGAACCATCTTTAATGAAACTAAAAGTGATGTAATAAAAAAAACACTACAAATCTTAGTAAAATATTAAAATACACTATTAGAAAATCAAAAATATTGGAATTTATTAGGCAAATGAAAAAATTCTGAAAATAAGGTCAAAACAATGTGGAATATAATTAACACAAAAACCGGTAAAACGAAAATAGACAGACTTAAAAATATATCATTAAATGTTAACAATGAAGAAGTCAAATGTCCTTCAGATATAGCCAACATATTTAACGAATTCTTTGCAACGGTAGGGCACAACCAAACAACCAGCTCTAACATCGCCCCTGAAAAACCAGTGGTTAACCCCTCCACATGTTCAATGTACGTGCGCCCTGTAAATCAAAAAGAAATAATCGATATCATTCGATCAACTAGAAATAAGCATAGTTGTGGTATCGACGATATTCCACCAATCTTATTAAAACAATGTGCAATGGAACTTTCAACCCCTCTGACATTACTAGTAAATCAAAGTTTTGAAGACGTTCAATTTCCAGACGCACTAAAAGTCGCTTTAGTCAAACCAATACATAAGAAAGACGATACAAACACTCCTACAAATTATAGGCCAATAGCCCAACGTTTTCAAAGGTATTCGAAAAAGCTATGTGTAACCAGCTATATGCGTTCCTAGAAAAGTTTAATATTCTTGACGATTCACAAAATGGATTTAGAAAATGTAGATCAACAACGTTAGCCGTGTACAAATATATTCAAAGAGCGTTACAACACATAAATGACAAACAACACGTAGTAAGAATGTTGCTGGACATGACAAAGGCGTATGATAGGGTCCTGTACGACATTTTACTCAACAAATTATATGGCTGTGGAGTACGGGGACCCGCTTATTCATGGTTTAAATCATACTTAGAAAATAGGACACAAATAGTACAAATTAATCATTACAACCATGACAAAAATGAAATAAAATCCTTCAGATCTCGAGAACTCCAAATAACTTCCTCAATACCCCAAGGAAGTGTATTGGGTTGTGTGTTATTTTTAATTTATATAAATGATTTGCCAAAAAACATTAGACAAAGAAAAAACTCTGCCGGTACTTTTTGCGGACGACATTTCGATACTATTAAAATGCGAAAGTGAAAATAACCCAAATCTTCTTTTACAAAACACTCTTCAAACAATAGATAACTGGCTTAAGGATCACAACTTAGAAATAAATTCAACTAAAACAAAAATAATACAATTCAGATCTTATAAAAAATCTCCTTTAAAATTGAACATAATGTACAGAAACACACGTTTAGAAGAAGTTGAGACATTTACATTACTTGGGATGAAAATAGACACACATATGAATTGGAAATCACACATCGAGCACATTAAATCAAAACTTTCTAGATTTTCTTACGCCCTTCTTCAAATTAAACGATCTACTAACACACAGACAGCTTTGTCTGCTTACTACGCGTATGCATACTCGTGGCTCCGATATGGCATCATGCTATGGGGAAATAGCGTTAACAGCGGTGAACTATTCATAATGCAAAATAAATGTATAAGAATCCTAGCCCAAATTAATAACACGGAGAGTTGTAAACCATTTTTTAAAAAATTTCAACTTTTAACTCTGCCCTCGATATATATACTCGACATATGCGTATTTGTGTTCAAAAATATTGATGCCTTTACAAAAGTAAAAGACACCCACACCATAAACACCCGGCACAAAAATAGGCTTTACCTTCCTCCGTCAAGAATAAAAATGTTGAACGAAAGCCCATACTATATGGCAGTTAAAATATTTAACAAGCTACCAGACGTTATTAAAAACGAAAGAAAACCACTACTTTTCCAAAAAAAAATTAAACTTTATCTCACACAAAAATGTTTCTACTCAGTCAAAGAATATTTGGAACCTACCTCAACATAACATTTACATAATTGCGATCCGCCCTATACAAATATTTACTATTTTTTTTATCACTTAATTTCAATTTTAATATACAATATAATATAATTACTTTAATTCATAATAATATTCAAAGCTGACATGATTTTATTGACAAATCTTTATTTATTGTCTCACTTATTCTATAAATTCGTGCATATGGTATAGAAGAACTTTTAATAATAAAATTGACCTAGTATGGACTGTGAGCTGCTAGTGCAGCACTTTATGACACCTTTTGCACACCATTGTCATGGTAGAATGTACTGAACCAGTATTGTAATTATTGACATCTGTTGTATGTACTACATTCTGCAAATAAATGAATTTGAATTTGAATTTGAATTTGAATTTGACCAATTAAGCCCACAGTATCTTTCTTCAAACTTCTAGATGCAGCAGCAGCAGCATAGATTCATTTATTCATATGTTCGGTTTGTTGTCATTATCAAAAGTTATCGCAAGCAAACACTTGAACTTAATATCGTTCATAGCCATTCCGAGGCCCCGGACTGGTAGATCAATGTGAGGCCCCGGGCTATTAGATCATTGCGAGGCTCTTGTCTTTGTGGAAATAGTTTTAACAATATAACTCAAAACAAAAAATGCAACGCAACACATACTGCAGCTGGAGTAAAAAAGCTTATGCCGACGACAGCTGACATTGGTAGTCTGTTAAAATGACAATCGAAATGAAACACAAGAAATCTCCGAAAATAAATCTAGACCTAGTAGGTTACGCGTAAGGCGCGAAATTCAAATAAAAATATTTTTCTATTCGGGTTGTAGTGCGAATGCCAAAAGCCCTGCTAAAAATAAAAACAAATGTTTTACTTAGGTACTACCGGGTTGTACGCTAATTTTTAGGACCCCCGATCACTATCCTAGACTATTATACCTTGCTAGATAACTGACAATAGGTACACATTTTTAACACATCTGCAACATAGCTGTCACAGTTGTTTTTTAATATTCGTCAAAAACATTTTTTTTAATTTATTTATATTTGCTATTATTAATGGTTGGGAATGGAATGGAAATGGTTAGATTTTGATATGGTATTTCAAAGTGAAATCTATTGTTAATAATTGCTACTACAACCTCTTAAAGCATCTAGGTCGACTTATCCAGTAACCCTGTATATTTTAATAATAATATTATTATCATAATAATATTATTACTAAATAATAGAATTTAGAATTAGCTTGTACCCATAGTACAAGCTCTGCTTAGTTTGGGACTAGAGATGGCGTTGTGTGTTTGTGGTAGAATATTATTATTATTATTATTATTATGTCATTTTATACCTTGTCTGGTCTCCCTTTTATTTTAAAGGGGTAACAAAATCTAACACACGGGCCTTAGCCAAGTGTGCCAAAAAGGGATGATGATATGAAGTTAAGATGATGAGGATGAAGCGAGAAATTTGCGTGTGAGACGGCATGTGTTAAGAAGGACTGCTTTTTGTAAGAGTATGAGAGAGGATTTCGGCATTTCCAATGTGTTGAGGCTATCTTGAAGAGTCTTCGGTACTACACCAGTTGTAGATATGACAATGGGTACTATTTTAACTCTATCTACCTGCCATTGCCTTTTTATTTCCGTTGCTAAGTCTGTGTATTTAGTCATCTTTTCTGTGTGCGTCGTGAGGAGATTGTGTGTGTTACATACTGCTATGTCTATAATAAAAACTATTTTGTTAGTTTTGTCTAGTATTGTTATATCCGGTCTATTATAATGTATGGTTTTGTCGGTAATTATTGTCCTATCCCAATATATTTTAAATGCATTATTTTCTAGAACTGTACTGGGTTTATATTTATAATAAGCAGTTTTATTTGAAATAAATGAGTATTTGTGAGCTAGATTTTGATGGATTATTGCTGCAACTTGGTCATGTCTGTGTTTATAATCAGTTTGTACAATAGATTTACAAGAACCAGTGATGTGTTGGATGGTTTCGGAACTGCTATGGCATCGTCTACATAAGTCGGTAGGAAGGTTAGGGGTACGGATTATGTGTTTTTTATAGTTAAGAGTGTCGATAACCTGATCCTGAATAGCGATCACAAAAGCCTCGGTTTCTGGGAAGAGTTCTCCGCGCCGCAGCCACTCGTTCGACGCTTTTCTATCGACGTGTGTTTGGCTGAGATCGGCGAGATGTCTGCCGTGTAGAGACTTTTGTGCCCATAAGTCTATTTTCTGCTGTTTGCTCAATAATTTTGGTTGAATGTTTGTGTCGTTTAAGTTGAGCGGAGTTAATTTTTTGTCTATATCGGTTAAGAATTTATGAAGATGGGATTGTCCGGCTTGGGCGTAGAAATATTTGCGTAACTTATCTATAAGATTGTTGTGTAGATTCTGTATGTCGATGAGACCTCTCCCTCCATCTTGCCGTGGTAATGTAAGACGTTGTGTGCACGATCTGGGGTGATGTTTCCTATTGGTTGTCATGTGTGTGTTGATTGTGCGCTGTAATTTAATGAGATCGCTCTGGGACCAGGCTAAAATCCCAAACGAATAAATAAGAACTGGTATTGCATACGTGTTGATGGCTTTGATGGTATTGCGTGAGTTTAATTGGGTTCTCAAAATCTGACTTATTCTGGCTTTGAATTTCTGTGTTAACTCTAATTTTGTCTGTTTTTGCTGAATCTGTCTAGACTGGCGGAATCCTAAATATTTATACGTCGTATGTTCATCCATTGGTTCTATTTGTTCACCTGTATCAAGTGTATAAAAATTGTATTCTGTCTTGCCGCGGTTGATTGAGTGAGTTTTACATTTGTCTACCCCGAATTGCATATGAATATCTGTCGAAAATGATTGTGTAATGTCAGTTAGTTTATTAAGTTCAGTGTTATTAGTTGCATAAATTTTAATATCGTCCATGTAAAGTAAGTGTGAGAGTATGTGGAATGAGTTATTGCATCTTAATTTAAATCCTATATTTGTACTATCTAGCAGTTCAGATAAGGGGTTGAGTGCCATACAAAACCAAAGCGGGCTAAGCGCATCTCCTTGAAATATGCCTCTTTTAATTTTTATCAAGTCAGTGGTTAACTCGTTATTTATTAATTTTAATTTAGTTTTCCAATGAAGCATGGCTGTGCTTAAGAATGTTATGAGACTAGGGTGAATTTTATAATGTTCCAATACATATAATAACCAACTATGGGGGACAGAATCAAATGCTTTCTTGTAATCGACGTACATCATATGGATGTTCCTATTTTTAGTTTGGGCTTGTCTCATTACTATTGAGTCTATGATTAATTGTTCTTTACAACCTTGGCTATTTTTTTTACACCCTTTTTGTTGTTCTGCCAGCACGTTGTATTCATTTAAGTGTCTGTAAATAATTTCGCTAATGCAACTTGTAATAATTTTATATATAGTTTGCAAGCATGTGATAGGTCTGTAATTTGCAGGATTTTTGGAGTCTGAACCTTTTGGTAGCATGTATGTGATTCCTTGTGTTATGAATGTTGGCAAAGTGTGCGGTGATTGAATGAATTTGCAAATGTGACTGTGGACGAATGGGTGTGTGCAGGTTAATTTTTATTATTACTTCGTCAAATTGCTCGTATTTTCATGGACACCATCTTCTAGGACACTTTCGTTTCTAGTTTAAAGAAGAACAAGTACGTCGAAAAGTGATGACGATGGAAAGTGAGACAGAATCTGCTCGCGCGCTGACACATGAAACAGAACGTGCTTTACGCGCAGAACTGAGCGGATTGCGTGAACAAATAAATCATGTGTCTAATCAGCTGCTGGAGGAAGATAAAGTAAACAAGGAACTTAAAAAAGAGGTACTAAAATTTTGAGAGTCAGTAACTAAAAATAAGTTGGCAATTAGTAAGCCTATTATTAGGTAGTTACACTAGATAAATTATTTTTATACATTTCTGGCGTTAAGCTTCAAGTTTAGTAAAAATTCTAAAACTTTAGGTTTATTTAACGTAACGAATGTTTAGGAGTAGTGTACATTTTGGAGATTTAATTTACAAAGCTTTTGTTTTATTTATTTTTTTACCTGTGGAAACCCTCTTGGGCCGTCACCGCACCGGGGTTTGCAGCGGATTGGTGTGTCGGAATCGGACCGAGTAAAACCACAGGTTGTGCCAGTCTGCGCCTGTAATAGGAGGGCTCCGGTAACAGCTGTTATTAGACATCCGGACCCCTCCTAGCGCCTGCCCGCAATGGCGCATCCACCACCTTCGGGTACATTTTGGATTAAATTATCAATTAATTGCTAATCTTCAATTCAATTAAAATTGCCGTTGTTTTATATAAACCCTACATGCGAAATGTTTTTTTGTTATCGCCTGACAAATTTGAAATAGCAAATGGTAATAGACCATCAAGAAACCCTGAACCTCATCATAGTTTGTTATTTGTAAAGGATAATAATAAGTGAAAATATAAGTGGCAGAATGTCCGTGTGATGACGGATTAAGAATACAGATTGTCACCACCCCTATTCATCCCGTGGGTGTCGTAGGAGCCGACTCAGGGAAAAAGCTATACCAACCCGTCTGGCCAGCGTGGTATAGTAGGCCAAAACCTCATTTCTAAGGAGAGGCCTATGTCCAGCAGTGGACTATTATAGGCTGTTGATGATGATGATGATAAGTAGCAGTGGATGGAACATCGTATTACTGAGACGAAGGCAGTCATTGGCAAGTTTATCTTCGTTAGGTCAGGAAAAACAGGCCTGAGACTTGAGAATCCGACTTTTTTCGGGTGCGCGTATATATGGCAAATGTCACGGAGCGCATTGAGTTCTAAAACAGAAGGTTTGCAAGGGGAAGCCGTATATGAAGGTACAAAAAGAGACTGGATCATACTAAGAATCGCACATTCTAAAGGAACGAGAGGTAGGTTTAAAGAAAGTGGGAGCAGCCTGATTTAGTGAGTGGTGGCAACATTTTCCAGATGTTGAACTAATAAATACATTTTTTTTTTCTCAAAACGACAACTCCCGCACTGAGCTAGGCTATTTTGGCGTAACATATGGTGATGCCTGTCACATATACAAAGGTAGATTTGATGCGAAATGTCTAACGATCATGTGAGTCAATCAATACAATCAATTTCAGTGTTATGCAAATGGTACGCTACCGAATCAGAAATCAATGGAACCGGATGGACTGTATAACTTTCCGTAGCTCACATGCATGTTTGGCGTCCCATTTTCAATCATGCTTAAATCAGGTCTTCTACTATAGATTACTGCCGTCCATTTTGAGAGTGAAGACAACACAACAACAACAGCAACTTCACTCATACGAGAGATGTAGAAGTGTGTCATGTGGGGATAAAAAGCTCCTTATTCTATCAGACACTCGACTATCAGACAACAAGTGTACCGCAGGCAGGAAATATCATAAAACGGCTTGTTATTCTGTACTATCCACGTGGGTCCTAAGGGTGATGGCATCGTGCAAAATTGATACAACTGTATGCACTTTCCTGGAGGCAGATATGCAGCAATGGAGAATGGTTCCTTGTCATGCAGGATATCGGCACAATCTTATCTTAGTCTATATTTCAGGGTGTCAGTTTGACGGGCTACCAGGGATTTCCTTTCTAGGGTACACCTGGTTTTCCAGCTAGGGGTATGTAAACGATAACATATTTGCAAATTTATGTTAATCGTTAATATTTGAAAAGTAAGTAGGTATCTAATGTTTATTCAAAGTTATGTTATCTTCAAACTGGGTCAAAATTACGTATACTTTTTCTTCGAAGTAAAGTAAACAAAACACTATTAGTGAATACTACACACTCACAACGTTATATATGTGTATATGTGACAATGTCTTTCACATATATTATTATATAAAGTAATTTCAGATCAATGTATACATATTATTTTTGATTGTTAATTAATAAACAGTTTACCTTTTCTGAAAGATAGATTGGTATATTATCAAAGATTTTGTAGAATCAAAATGTATAATATATATCACATAACAGAACTCATTTATGGTCAGGGCGTGCCACACATATAATGCTGCGTGCCGAATAGTTGATATTAATATTTTTAACTCAAGTCTTATACAAATAAAGAAGATCATGTGTAAAGAATACTTTGCTCAATAATGCCACATGAATGCCTATTTTTTTAGTACTAATGTCGTATTATTGTCGTCACTGATACGACTATTATTTAAACTTTTAGTCTATATGTGAAAACTTTGATCTATCTATCATATTAGATTTAATTAAATAGATAGATAGAATAGAATAGAATATATATACATATAATTAATTATTCAAGAGTAGTATGGAATGTGGAGGACTGCGCCACCTAGTACCAAGTGAAAAACAACTATTGAGATTGTGATTAATAGTTCTGATACTTGCAGCGCTAGATGGAGCTGTTAGTTTTCTAAATTGTAAAATAAAATATAAATAGTGGATATGCAACCCTGCAGAGGATACTTTCTTAGAATTGAGGTTACAGTTACTTCTAGCAATTTTATCATTTGAAAGCAACTACAGGCAAACAGTTTTAAATCATCCATGAAAATAAGTATGTGCTATGGTAACCAGACTGCTGATGTAGCTAAAAGATACTAGGGGTAAATTCCACAAATACATATATGGAACAAATTTTTGTGCTAACTAAACAGTTATTTATTATGCAATTGAAGCCACTCTGGCTTTGCAGTCAGTCATGTGCTGTCACAACTGTGTTGTCTTTAGTGTACAATAAAGTGGGTATACTACTTTGTACTAGAAAGTACCGGGAAAAGATCAATTTACACAAAATGTTTGTTATTCATCCAAATTTATTTTATCACCTTCAAAGTATGCTCCTTCAGAAACGATACGCTTACGCCAACGAATAACCCAAAAATGGAAAAAGCGCCAAAATGGAAAACAGTGGTGCCAATCTAACAAAAACAAAAAAAACAAATATTTGAATTTGGAACCATAAACAAATCATCCATTCCCGATACTTTTTTGCCTGAATCTATTTTTATTAAAAAAAATAGGCCACTAAAACGCGGCATATAGTCACGTGACTACGTATGTCGTCATTAATCGACACAGTACTTTATATTTTACTAGCTTTTGCCCGTGGCTGCGCCTGCGTTTATGTCGGTTATCGCAGGAGAAAGTAGCACATGTTACTAGCTAATAATATAGCTTTCCATTGGTGAAATAATTTTTAAAATCAGTTTAGTAGTTAAGGTGTGAAAGTGCTACAAACAAACTCACTTTCACATTTATAAAATAAGTATGATAGTAGAAAGTATGTAGTATAGTCTGTTTTTTAATCTCGTAGACTAAATTGACATATGCAAATGTCAAATTTACAAATAATGTTGCCAGCTCTTTTGTGCAGTGTTGTACCTACGATACCGGTTTGTTGAATCGTAACTTTTTATTTATAATAGACGAATTTAATTTTCATTCAAAGTTTTATATTTTAAATTCACGTACGTACACACGGCTGCACGACGTGCTACAAACTGCCAGGGAAATCTGACCACGCAACGCCATGCGTAATCCGACCATGTTTCGATGCCTTTAAATTAAACAAAAAAAAATAATTATAGACGCCATCAGTGTTGTTCCCGTACGCGTTTAAACGGCAATCTTAACCCTTTTCTCTTACGAAACGGCAGAACTTAAAAAATACGGCAATTATGGAACTTGACACCATACGAACAACTGCAATTTTTAAAATAATTATGATAATATGGTAGATTTAAAAATGTTACATTTTGAATACGGCAACCCTAAATTTCACAGGAACAACACTGGATGCCATTTTGTTTACCTTATTCGTCCTTCAACCTCTGAAGTGTTCGAATGCGTCCGTTGTGTCTTGATTCAATTTCAAGTGCTATTTGTTATATTTTCGTTGAGTTTGTTTCTGTTTGTTTGTTTTTTGTTAAGTTTTGTGGTTTGTTACGTTACCAAACGTTTGTTACGTTACGTTTGTTTTCGCTGAATCATTTATGATGGACGCTCAGCCTTCAACTTCGTCGCGTAGGCGTAATGAAGAAACTCGTATCGCCAAGAAAAAAACGAAAGCTCAAATCATTTAGCCAAACCGAAAAAGAAATGATCATGAACGCTTACAAATATGTAAATTCTGAAAAGAAAACCGAATCTTCAACCGAGACGCCGAAAAAAACGAATGTGTTTTAAAAACTGCCGAAATATTAAACATATCCAGAGCTTCAATCTACAACGTGCTGAAGGAGCATAAAGAAAATTAAAATTTTAACACTCCGAAAATACCTGGCCCTAAAATAGATTTCAAAAACAAATTGGACGATTTCACTCTTTCGGCTATACGTCGAAAAGTCCACTAATTCTTTTATAGAAACGAATAACCATCCTTGAACAAGGTAATGCTAGTTCTGTTTATTTAATATTTTTAATTTTGGCAGGTATTGTTATGATGCTTGCAAACTGTAGTTTTTAAGTTCGTACTTACCTACAAAATTATTTAATTTTTAGGTTCTTCAAGTCGTAAATGATGACCCAGAACTTCAGTCATTTTCAAGAAGTACGTTACATAAAATTTTAAAACACCTTCGATTTAAGTTCATGACCAGAAAACGCCGCAGTGTATTAATTGACCGAGATGACATAACTTTATGGCGGCATCGATATTTGCAAAAAATAAAACAGTATCGTAGGGAAAGTCGTTCTATATATTATCAAGATGAAACGTGGATTAATGAAGGTTGGTACTAACATAAGCATTTAATTTTACTTGTTTCTCGAGACTGTCGTTTTTATTATATTAGTAGGTATTTATGTTTTTTTATTATTTTCTTCACACACATACTAATTCATTTTAGGTCATACTGAGAATAAGCACTGGGTGGACACCAGTGTGAAATCATCACGTCAGGCTTTCTTAGAAGGGTTAACCACTGGGTTAAAAGGGCCTTCAGGCAAGGGCAGACGACTTGTAGTGTCCCATGTTGGAAGCGAAGAGGGTTTCGTGGATGATGGTCTATTAATATTCGAAGCGAAAAAGGGGCTAGATGATTACCACAAGGAGATGACTTCTGATATATACGAAAACTGGTTAAAAAATATTTTTCCGAAATTAAAAGGAAACGCAGTACTTGTAATAGATAATGCTCCATATCACACCAGGAAACTGGAATCGTTACCTACTTCTAGTTGGCGAAAAGGGCAAATCCAAGATTGGCTAAAATCAAAAAATATTTCATATGACGAGACAATGTTAAAGCCCGAATTAAATGAAATTGCCCGAAAGCACAAAAAAGCCCATGAAAGGTATGTCGTCGACGAGATGGCTGCTGAACGGGGTGTCACTATTTTGCAACTGCCCCCTTACCACTGCGAGCTAAACCCGATTGAGTTGGTCTAGGCTCAAGTAAAGGGGCATATCGCTAAAAATAATAAAACATTCAAAATGAATGAAGTACGAAGCCTTTTTGAAGAAGGGCTTCGTCAAGTGACCCCGCAGCGGTGGAAAGACTGTGTAGTCCATGTAATTAAAATTGAAGATCAAATGTGTCATCTGGGCCATATAACCGACGACATTACTGATAGGTTTATCATAGAAGTAGGTGGCGATTCTGATGATTCAGAATATTCCTCAGACATGGAATCATTATCTGAATCAGATTAACGCGAATACCTGTAATTAAGTTATGTAATTAAAAATATATGTTTTACATTATTAATTTTGTATTATTACGTTTTAAATAAGTACCTACACATTATTTCAGGATAAACACATTATTTCAGGATAATTTATTGTAAAAAAAACGATAATAGATTTTATTAACGCTAAGTTTCGGGTGTGCCTCAACACTATTTAAGAATTGCAATAAACTGACAACACTCGTAATGTCAGTTTAGTCTAAGAGATTAAAAAACAGACTTTAGTTTAATCTTCCTCGGAGCTTTTTTTCCAAACTGGGTTGGGGCCGCTTTTTAGTGTGCTAGGATACGGCTGAACTTCGTTTTTTTAAGCGTAACTACTGCCATAAGACTGCCGCAATCCAAGTACTAGGCGATATCGAAGTTTTGTAGAGAGACTGTTGTTGGACTTTTTAGGGCTCCAACTACCGGTAACGATTGCCACAGATATTTGTATAGCAACTAGGACCGACGTCTTAACGTACTCTTTGAGGACGGCGTTGTCTCAATGTGTTAAGAATAGTCACCAATCGATATACTGACCTGGCTAGGATTGCTTAACTTTGCAACGTGTTAACCTACTCGGTTACCACTTAGCCACGAGCTCCCTCCATATATAATTACTGTGCTCACATAGAATAATGTTTAAAAACTTGATTAGTTTTCCGCAAATTTTAAAACACATTAGATACACCATATTATACTCGTATTATTATTTCTCTTTTCGCGTTAACGAAAGACAATTTAAGCAAGACAGCTGATTGGTTAATAGGCTGTCAAAATTGCACGATTACGACACATTTTCTGATTGATGTTTGCAGTCAAGTGACTCACTGATACAAAATCCTATTTTTCTTAAGGGAATATAAAATGAATTAAAAATTATCTTTTCTTCATTTATATTATTTTAGAGTTTTAGACTTTCTATTAATAGATTTATATGTAAAGCCTAGTAAAGATTTAAATAGTTATTTTCAGGTTTTAAACATACTGTTAATTCCTGGATTATCTAATTATGAATAAAAATAATTGGTTAAATATGTTGCTATACAGAACTCGAAAAAGGCTGGAATAGTCCGAATTATCTTAATTTATCTTCTATATAAGATAATTTATAAAAGATACCCATGTTAAAAGTGAAATGAAAAATTCGGGGAAACGGAATCATATGAATTTATAAATATTAATGCGAAAATGAGTTTCCTTGTTTGATACGCTTTCATGCCTTAAGTACTCACAACACATCATCATCAAATTGCATCATGAAATTTTGCAAACGTGTCATCAGAGTTACAGAAAAGGACAGTGAGAAAGTATTTTTTCATAAAAAAGTACTGTTTCCTAAGGATGGCGAATTCATTTTCATACGAAGCCGCGGTCAATATAATTTCTTTACAGCTGGAACAACTTCGCAAGGAAAAGATGGGTATGATTGAAGATCTGGATGGTTGTAAAGCGTTATGTGATGGTAAAATAAAAAAACAGATGGACGAGTTACAGGCAAAGAGGCAACAACTCCAGGCGCTGAAAGATAAAGAGATAGAGTGCAGGTGCAGACTACCCGTTGACGCTTCAGTGGAGGTTAAGCGTACGCCTTCTTTAGCAGCCTTGTGTAAATGCGCTCCAGAAGACAGAATATTGGTAAACTGAAATTATACATATTATAGGGGTCTTCGATATAGTTTTTCTGTAGGAAACCAATTTAAGATAATTTGTCGATATGATTGTAATGCAGGCACAAAATCCTTAATAGGTATTTGACTTACCTTTTTTTTACGCGGGTAATACTTTTCGCACCATATCCTTAGCCGGGGAGACGGAGGGTGTATGTGGGACTCAAGGAGAACAGGTCTATCCACTAAACTCCGCGGCGGGCTAGCTCGGCAGTTGGAAGGAGCTCCAGGAACGCATCGGCGACTTCAGGAGTCCTCCCTGCCGTACCCCATGACTGAGGTATATCCCGGGGTGATCATAGCCACCACCAGGGCGGCACACTGCCACTTCCTATCCCGATCCCGCTCTGTAGTTTCCTTCTCTAGCATAAAGTTCTCGCAGAAGGCGACCGCGACTACCCATCCCTCACCCCTCCTCAGCATTGAAGCTATCAATGCTGGTGGTGACAGGTTTCGTCCAATCTGTTGAACCAAGACTCGGCGCTCGGACTCCCCCATGCAGGGCAGTCCTCGAGCGTGTGATGAGTGGAGTACCGGTGTACCGACCGAATGTACGCTTCCGTCACATGTGAGTCTATTGCAAGGGACTCGAGTATACTCTAGGAAGTAAGTCGCCGAGAATCCCGGCAGCCACACCATTGCATGCAGAGGACCACGCATCGAACACATCAGTCACGGCTCAGACCTGCTTCTGTAAGGGCAATGGTAACGGGCAATTTCACCGATACCCAGCCACCGATTTCAAGCCAGCGCTCATGGAGTTCGGAGATCGTTATGCCCTCAACGGCAACTGGTGGATGGGGCGATCTGGTACTCTCCAGTTTACCCTTCTGCCTTTCTTCCTTCCTTTTGGTTTAAATTTAATTTCGGAGTACTGAAATCTGCTTATTATTATTCTTTCCTTCTTCGAGAAAATCTAAAAGATCCATCTAGCAATGTCCAGTAGTTCGTTTCTCATTGCCTATAGAGTATTTTTTCTGTCTTTCTAAATGTATGGCACATTGTTTCGTAGTGTAACTTACTGAATATAGTAATTATCTTTAGAAATAACTGAAATTGGTCTGGCGTACATTATTATTTTAATTTTACAGGACTCATGTTCTTGTACATCAATGAAAGGAAGACTTCTTTCGAACTTACTAGCAGACTTGTTTGGAGGATTACAGTCCGAGTTGGGGGGAACAGGGTCACAAATGCCTTGTCAATTATTAAAGTGTCTCGAGGACCAACATAATTGGGACCGAGCCAGTGTAACTAAAACCAATTTACGAAGCTACTTTTCGAATTTATTAGTTGGTGAATTGGACATTGCAATTGCAACATCTATAGAAAATTATCATGCAAAGGTAAACTTCTTCAAAGATGGCTTTCTTGTTCTAAAGAGATAAAGCTAAAGACTAAAAGTATAAAGATTTGTCATGATAAACTTGGCCAATGGCGGTAGGATGTAGGCTACTCTATCACTTAATTTTTAACATGTGAGTCGGGATATCACGAAAATTAATTAATATAATATATAAATATTTCAGTGGGTTGGTACTTCATGTGCGGATGATAATATTAGAATGACCCCTGGACCACAAGATGATTTAAAGGAAGGATGGGAAAAACGAGCCATTGAGAGACGAGCTCAGAAGCTCGCTGCTCAGCTTGCAGAGGAATTGTACGAAAAGCGAGCTGACGAACTGGCAAAACGAGCGAAAACAATAGTCACTTCTGGTCCACCGCCTTGTGAATGTAGTAAGCGAGGCTCTACGTGTGGTCAGTATATGCAAGCTGATGACTTATTCATTAATGTTAAGGTTCCATGATTCAATCACTGTTTGCATTAATTATTTTACACAATAGTGTTTTGTTTTTGTCAGCTGTCCTGTTGTGGTTATATCGGGTTTATAGTTAAACCGCCGTAAGCTTGGCCCTCCTGATGGTTTAGGAGACGCGGGGCGGGGGTGCATTCAACCAATTAGCTAGTGCGTCGCTGTCCGCCGGCAGTGACTGACGTGAAAGCATGGCTGTACGTGTTACTTTTCTTAAGACTGCTACACTCCTCCTCCCTATAATTTTAGATATAAAACTAAAGGTGCGAACTGGGCTTTGTTTGGTTCACTCTTTGCAACTCATACCAAAGACTTCAGTTGCAGTAGTTTATCAGGTGAGGAAAGCGCAGAAATACTAGCAGAAACTTTCACATACTGCGCTGATGTATCTATTGGTCGCGGATCTATCACTAACACTCGTAGATGTGATTGGTGGAATGATAGATTGGCCGAACTACGTAGAAGCTACCGGAAAGCTCGTAGAAAATTAAACACTATTAAAAAAACATAACGTAACAGGAGATTTGTACAATAATGCTCTTATTGCTCTTAGAGTTGCCAGGTCCCACTACAGAGTTGCTGTGGAAAAATCCAAGGGAAACTTAATTCATAAACTTGTTGATAAACTCGATAGAGAGGGCCCGTGGTCACCTTTGTATCACGAATTTAAGGCAAATAGATCAATCGACCTTGCATTCATACAGTACATCAAAATTAATAACAGATATACCACAGGAGTAGAACAAACATCAGAATATCTTTTAGAATCACTTGTACCTAACGATCGGCCGGAAAACAACACTGATCATCACCGACAGATCAGGCAGTGGGCCATCGAACCACCACTGTCTCCAATGTCTGATTTACCATCTTCAGACGAATTTCTCGGTATCATTCGATCCTTGCCGCTAAACAAGGCTTCGGGCGATGATAAAATATCTAACAAAATGATAAAAGAAGCTTGTAAACTTTCGGGTGACACGATTTTCACTGTCTTTAAACGTTGCATTGCTGAAGGAATATTTCCTCGGAATGGCGGTGCGGTAATATTCGTATAATACCAAAAAGTGGCGACAAGCCACCGGATGATCCTAAATCCTAACGACCAATTACATTGTTACCATCGTTAGGAAAGCTTTTAGAACGACTTGTAGTGCCCCGGCTTCTGCCAGGTGGAGTCAAATTTCATGATAGACAATTTGGATTTACATTTGGTAAATCGACAACTGACGCTGTTATATCGGTTAGAAAGTTTGTCACAGAGTCAAAATTTCAATACGTGCTGGCTATTTTCTTAGATATATCTGGCGCCTTCGACAACGCATGGTGGCCCATGCTGTTGCTGAAATTAAAATCACGGGGGTACTTTAAAAATATTTATTCCCTTATCTCTTCGTACTTTTCACAAGGTACTACTAAACTAAGACTTGGTCATCATTCTGTGTCGAAGGCGCTTACAATGGGATGTCCTCAGGGATCGGTGCTAGGTCCATACTTGTGGAATATCGGCTTCGACGATTTTCTTGCTATACCAATACCATCCGGATGTACTCTGAACGCGTATGCTGATGACGGCTTATTACTGGTGGAATCTGATACTAGGGCGGGACTTGAGAGATCAGCCAATAGATGTTTGAACTTGATATCTCAATGGGGTGAACGTAATCGCTTAACTTTTGCACCCAACAAAACCTTCCAGCTACTTTTAAAAGGTAACCTCAAATCACCGCCAAGCATTAGATTTGACAATGTTACTGTAAAAAATAAGGCCTCAGTGTGTTACCTAGGATTAGTTTTAGAAATAAACTTTTCATTTATCGAACATATTAAAATAGGTAATGAAAAGTCTAAAAAGAGTTTCTGTGCATTGTGTGGTGTGTGGTGCGTGTGGTGACGGATTAAGAATACAAATTGTCACCACCCCAATTCATCCCGTGGGTGTCGTAAGAGCCGACTAAGGGAGCAAACTAAGCAGGACAACAGCACTGCAAAGAGAAGGAAAACTTGAAACAAACCCTATACCAACCCGTCTGGCCAGCGTGGTATAGTAGGCCAAAACCTCCTTTCTAAGGAGAGGCCTATCTCCAGCAGTGTACTAGTATAGGTTGTTGATGATGATGCATTGACAAGGATATCAACTGCGACATGGGGTCTATCATTTAATACATTAAAGATTATATACGGAGCTACTTATTTAGGTTCTATGTTCTATGGTGCACGTGTATGGGCCGATAGGGCGACCGTAGGCGCTGTCCGTCGCAAACTGTTACAAGGCTAACGACTTGCACTGATATTCTTGTGCAAGGCATATAGGACGGTTAGCACTGAGGCTTTGCCGGTCTTGGCGGGTGTGCTTCCGGTCGATCTCGAGATGCAGAGACGTACAGCCATGTACTATTCAAGACAACAAAACATGGAATGCGATTTTTTGGGCGCGCGGGATCGCGGTAAAATTACAAGATTGCTTCAACAAGAGCCCGATGTCTATAATGACCTCATAGACGAATGGCAACAACGCTGGGATGAATCATCCAAGGGGCGCCATCTTTACCAATTCTTTCCATCTGTTCGCGAACGGATGTCGAGGACATGGCTTGAGGTGGCTCACTGTGTCGCTCAATTTCTTACGGGTCATGGTAACTTTAAGAGCAAGCTTTATTCATTTAAATTAGTAGAGTCACCATTGTGTCAATCCTCAACACCTAACTCTCACTATGAACAGTCTGCTCATCATATCCTCTGGGAATGTAGTCTTTAGTATAATGAACGTAATATAATGCTGAATAGCTTGCTAACATCTGAGGCGGTATACTATGGGGATCTTGTGTCAACTAGGGTGAATTTCCGTGCGTTCAGGCGATTCTGCCATATTATAGAAATCAAATATAGCTCACGTAGAACCCGTAATATTCGTGGCCGTGGTGCTTCCCTGTTTATAAGGGTGTATTCCCATTTTACTTAATTTTGTCTCCCGCTTTGCTAAGGAGGGAAGTGGATTTACTGTATTTCCAACTCCTCCAATTTTCTTCTGATTAATTTCGTTCCGGGTTCCAAGACAGTTTAATTTCTTCCTGGGACTTCCCTAGTGTCATAACTCGGTGTGTTCGTGGGTCACTGCTGTGGATCCTACAGGAGTTACAGTGGTGGGCGTGTGGGTGGGATTAGTCCCAGTAAAAAAAAAAAGACTGCTACACACGGTATTATTTTGCAACATGGATAATCTGCCGACTCTGCGTCACAAAAAGATTTAAAAACTTGAAGTTCGGCTTACAGAGGTTCTACTGTTAAAGTTCTAATAAAGAATATTTATTATTTTACTTAATTTTTAAATTGTACCTGATGATTTTATTAAAATTATTTTACAGTATTAAATTTTACAATTAATCATAAAAACTTACAATACACTGACTTTATAATACATGGAAATAAATTCGATTTTTATTACATCGTGTGTAGATTAAATCTCAAACAAATAAATCTGAAGATATGGTGTCATGTATAGGCGAGCGCAACACCCGCCCCGCGTCCCGCAAACCATCAGGAGGGCCAAGCTTACGGCGGTTTAACTATAATTTCCACCCATCACAAATAATTGTGTGATGAATACAGTCATCTGAATTATGTCATTTTCAACAGACAGATATATTTTTTATTAAAAATATTAGAATCCGTGATCACGGAGCTTTCAGGATTGGTGGCTCCTGGACTATATTAAATTAAGATAAAATATACCCATATTTAATCTAAATTAGATTTTTTACAGAAACATGTAAGTACGTTTATCAGAAATCTGATTACTATATTATTCTATGTTCTGCGGCTCTGGCTCATTTGAGATCAGATAGGTGTGTGTAAATAATGTTAATGTATCATAATTATTTCTAAGAAGTAGAATCTCCAAAGTAATGTAATTTCTTCATCTTAATTTCTGTTCGTGTACAAACGTGTTCTGTTCATAGTGTGTTTTTTTAAAGTGTAAGTAAAAAACGTTAAATTTAAATTATTTAAATATTTACAGCTTTTCCTTGCCTGTTGGAACCGGTGACTCCCTTTTCTGCCAAGCTACCGGAGGTCGTACGTAAAGCATCACAGTCTGATAAAGCTATATCTCCCCCACCTCCCAAGTACTGGAAACGCACCCATCAGGATGTTACGCAACTCAGGCTTGAGATCGAGGATCTTAAGAAGGTATTTTGAACCAAACTGTTAAAATCTCATTGCTATCACAAATGTTGTTTGAAAAATGGTTTCTGCAGAAATTTATCCACTGCTTACATAAATAACGTGCAGAGTTCCGTACCGACCTTTTCTTAAATGCTTTAAAAATTATAGTATTTAATTAGACAGCTCATTAAAATGTAACTTTAAATGGATATTTGTCACATTTGATAAATAAATTTATATTACCAAAAATATAATAAAACCATAATTAGTCGTGTAAAATCATCATCATCATCACATCATTAAAATATTCCAAGGTCAGAATTACCCATTATGTTAATGGGTAATTCTGTTCAGTTCCAAGGCATATTCTAAATATACCGCTGGGTTAGTGGTATGCGTTACGTTTCTATTTTTTTTACTGTAGAGTAACGGTAGAACTCGCTAAAAGTGAGTTATTTTTCCTTTGCAAGCTAAGTATTAATAAATTGTATATTTTAATTCAATCATATTTTTACTAATCCTTATAAATTATGCAGGAATCTATTAAGAGAGAAGATTTGATTTTAATGGAGGAGAAAATTACCAAAATAGTCCAAAAAACTGCGGTAAGTGAGCTGTTCATTGAAATAAAACTATTTTGATTTTATTTGAATTTAGTCATATTTTTTTAAGGTACCAGAACCTCAGGACGTAGTTACTAAAGATAATGCAGACAAGCAAAATAAATATAAAAAAGAAACTAAGTCCACAAAAAATACAAACGAAGATTTACTGAACATCAATTCCTCCAATAAGACTGGTATCACTAAAAAGAAATCATTTGATATCCATAACTTGCCTAAAAAAACATATTTACAAGAAAAACCTGTAAAACAACCAAAAAAATTTAATTACCATCAAACTTATGCAGTAAATATGTGTTTATGTGCCACACAAAAACCTTATAGAATGGCACATAACAAGGAATCAAATGTAGATGTAAAGGCGTCTGTGAAGCATAAGTTATCGAATAAAATTACTGCTCCAGCTGTTAATGATAACCAGACAAGGTTTACAGATATAAAGCTTCCCTTAGCGGACTGTGACAACACTAACAGCAAGTTTTTGACGGAATCATATTGCGATAAAAATTGTCAATGTTTTCATAAAATCCCATCTAACACTTCAATAGATAAATTGCTTGAAACTTTAACTAAATGGAAATCAGATTTGGGTAAGTCAAGAACAGAATTAGTTAACAATGTAACAACTATAAGTAGGACTTGTCTGAATAAAAATTCTAAAAGCATACTGAAAAATAAAAATCCGGTTGATTCAAACGCATACAATTTAAAGGAAAATAAGAACGATGATAGTGAAGGGGGAACTAATAGAAAAAAAATTGAGATTGAAAAACAAAACCATTCCATTAACTTCCACGAAGCTGTCAAGACAATGTCTGAATATATGGCAGATGTTAATTTAGAGAAAAGTAATGACTACACATGTAAATATGTAGACACGACAGAATCTTGTAAAAGTATTAAAGATCTAGAAAATTGTATTATTGACAAATGCTCAGATCCTTTTAATTGCATAAATTTGACGGAGCACGATCCTATAATTAAAAAGGTAAAAGAAAAACCTGCTTCTAAAGATGCTATAAAGATTTTAAATGAACATTTATATGACAAAACGAATAATGCAACTATAATAAACATTATAAATAATTCTAAAAGTACCAGAGCTATTAATACAGAAGACAACAGGAAAGAAGTTGCATTAAAAGATACTGTGAATAAAACAAATTTTATTCAGAACCAGGCTAAAATAGTTCCAAATAATTTGGATTATTATGTTAAGTTTTTAGGGGTAACTCTAGTAGATACAATGTCTAAAAATACTAAGAATGCTGTTACAAATAGTCATGATAAATCATCACTGTGTAAAGAAATTTATAACAATAGCCATAAGGACGCATCGCAATCGGATCGTCCGAAATCTGCAACACCGCAATCTGAAAAATCAAAGTCTGAAACCTCAAAATCAAGCAGAGACACAAATAAATATGCTATGGGAAACATAGTTACTGATACCTCTAAGAAGCTGAAAAAATGCGAATGTAAGGCCAAATTTGATGAATTAAAAAAAATTATAATCGGCATTTTTAATGACCAAATAAAACGAAAAAACACTAATCATCTAGATATAGCTCTTGACTCACAGAGTCTTTCATGCCAAGTTGACACTTTGAGTAGTTGTGTTTGTTGCAATAAAAAACAAGTTGACTGTACAAAAGATTTAGAGGTAAACACCTTCGACTTACTAGAAGCTCACCTGAAAGAAAAAATAAAAGAATTCAAGATTAGTTCATGTCAATCATCGTGCATCTCAGCTGAAGAAGAAGAAAAAATATTTCACACGATATTAAAAAGAGTAAAACAAGTAATATCTGATTGTGCAAATGAACTCAGGTATAATGAGTCAGGAGGTTTACTAGATACCAGCAAGGGAAGTTGGCAAAGAGCATATGGATTATTGCAGGAGTATCTGAAGATGAAAATTAAGCGCGCCCAATGTTTACCACTTATAAACGAAGATAAAGACGTCATTTTGTCGGATATATTAGAGAAAGTATGTGGCTTAATTGAAAGTGATTTTGAAAAATTAAAAGACATGTGTAAATGTGAGAAAAATAATAAGCCGCTTACAAAAATTACAAAGATTAAATCGCTATCAGATTCTTATAAGGAAATGCCTCAAAAAGTCGTTCCGTTAAAGGAAAATGATATGAAAATAATTAATAACACCAATAAAACATTGTCAAAACAAAGTTCCATAAAACCTACGGTACTTACAAAAAAACTTTCATCGCAAGTACGTTTTAACGTAGAAATGGAAAATAAATCATGTGATGCTCGTTCCGATTTAGAAATGGAAACTAAATCTTGCGAGGCTTTATTTAAGAATATACACACTGTTAATGTAGTATCTACACAAAATGATACTGATGCCTTTAAACAAAGTATTTCATCTCAAGTACCTATAGATTTAGGGATGTCAACAAAATCGTGCAATGTAACGTTTCAAAACAACAGTAAAATTTCAAAGGAAAATCTTACTGAAGCTATTTTTATTAGTCCACAACGACACGCGTTTTGTCAATTACAACGTGACTTAGAAATGGAAACTAAATCCTGTGACGTTATGATCAAGGCGGATAAGATTGTTAAAATAGTGTCGAGGTTAAATATACCGGATACTATGAACCAATTACAACATATGTCAACCCAAGCACCTCCTAGTTTAGGTATGCAAAATAAATACTGCGATGTTATGGTCGACAAACATGATATAACTATTATCGAGTCTACAGAAACTCTGCAAATGGACACACAATCATGTGATACTAGTGAATTTGATAGTGAAAGGATAAATAATAACCGAATGAATTTTATTCCAACTGAAATCTCCAAAGAAATTATTTATAACACTTGTAATTGTAATTATGATTCTGCCAAAGACCATAAAGATTTGAATACAAAAACAGTACTTTATAATCTTCGTGCTGATTTCCTAATGAACTGTAATGTTCAAACATTGTATCAACAAAAAGATAGAGAACTAATTAATATTCTCAGAAAAATAAAGTCACTACCTAACTTACAAAACACAGAGACTACAAAGCCTGTGTTTAAATTAAACAGCATAAAAAATGAAACAAACAATCTGAATCGTTATCCGAAACATATAAATAGTTCTAAGGCTGGTAATGTCACACCACATAATGGATCCACTATAGATTGTATATGTGACAGCAATTTTAAGTCTTGTACATGTATAAAATCAAGAATCATGGATCGTAATTATAAGAATAGTAATAATTGGCAAGAATTTCTGGCTCATAGTAATAAATGTCCAGATAATTTCTCATATATTATAAACGACAATCAAAAGGAAACTGATCATCAAATACTACGTGAGACTATGTGTAAAGTTGAAAATATTCTTACACCTATACATAGTAAGCAAATGCTCGAGAAAATTCAATATAGTGCAAATATCTGTGAAAACTATACGAACATGGTGACTGATTCAAATGGTAAAGGTCCTATGAACTGGCTTATTTGTCCCCAACCTGCAGAATCTCAAACAAGATCAATTACTGTCAAATTGTCCAATTCTTCACTCTATTATGAACCTGTTGACGAATCTATACCATCTGATAATAGGACTATTGAATTAATACCAAGCCAAAACATAGCTGCCACTCTATATGACCCTATTATTGAGGAAAATCATTCCCGTAAAAGTGAAACTACTTCAAACACCTCTAATTATATTACAGTACCGGAAAATAATTGTAAATGCAATAAAGTGCCTTTATGTCATGTGAAAATGTTAGTAGAAAATATTGAACGTAATCTAATTGAATCCAAATGTACATGTGACACTGTCTTTAAAATTTGCCCAGTACATTGTAAAAAAAATCGTTAAAATATTATTTTGGCCATTAAACTTGAAATGAGCACAAATATATTTAAAGAGATATTAGTTTAGTTTTTCTCAAAGTTTGGATTAAATTATATCTCATTTAAAAAAAGATATGTACCATATTAATGTAGTTTTATTTGTTTGACCTTGATATCTCCTAATCGGTAGTAGGTATACCATCACATAGTGAGTGACCCTAGCTAAAGCAAGTATGTTTTATACGCGATATCATAGGAATACACAAAGTATTCTTATTTAAGTAAACTAACAGTATCCTACAGCACATTGTTATAACAGTTATTGGTACTACGATAGATTCTTGAATATGCAAGAGACACATTTGGAACAAGCTCTTTGCCTGCCTAATGGTAAACGTTTACCCGTGTCTTTAAACATAAAATATTATTAGTTCGTTAAAAAATAAAATAAAATTTAAATTAAATTTTTTATTTTTATTTTAATATAAACTATCCTCTATACGATTATGTATGAAGGTATCAAAACTGCTTTCGGTTATCGTGACTTAGTATAACTCTATTCAATGTTGTCCTCTTAAATGCTCATAAGTGGCTGATGTATTCTATCTTGACAAGGAATGTGTGGATTTGGGGCAGGTTAAAATACCATGGCCATTGCGGGTGGTTGAGGTTTGAGATCACCGCGCTAAGCATTTATCCTCGACAGTATGAAATGTTCTGCTTGACTCCTATTTGATGATGTAGCATTTCTACATTGGTCCTTAAAGGACCAATGTAGAATGCTACATAGTTCCTGGATGACCGAAGATAAAAATGAAACCTAGCTAGATCGATTAATCGCCCCCGAAACCCCCTGCATACTAAATTTCATGAAAATCGTTAGAGCCGTTTCCGAGATTCAGGTTACACACATATATATACAAGAATTGCTCATTTAAAGGTATTTGATTTGCATCCAGGCCGTACTTGGATGTGATAGTGATCACATCTAAGGGACCCAATTCCCGGATCCCTCCTATTACAGGCGCAGAGTTGCGATACACCACCGTCCGATTCCGATACACCACCTCGCCGCAAACCCCGGTGGGGTGACGGCCCGAGGGGGCTTCCACACGTAAAAAAAAAGAGAAACATTCTATCGATGCATCGATATTTGTGTGTTGTATAAAATAAGTAACTATTTGCATTTTTATTACAATTACATTGTTCATTAACTGTCAAATCAAAAGTTCTCATTTCTTCAGATGTCTTATGTAGTAGGGGAGCCCATGATGTTAGATGTGGATTTACTCGAGCGTCATAGGGAACTATTGCATTTGTAAGAGTAGGTAATAGAATGAGTAAAAGTTACATAATATAATAAATAAAAAACGATGGCCAGAAATACTCGAGCGTGTAAGATTAAAGTAAATTAAGTCAAGTTAGTACATACACATTATTGTGTTTTTAAAATATCTGACTTTTTGACCGTGACAAAGCAGTCGGACGCCTGGTTTCCTCATGGACCAACTATGTTTACACAACTAGTTGTGTCATGAGGAATATGTTTTCTAAATCATTCCCATTGGCACAACTAAACAATTTTCAATTAATAGTAGTTCCTAGATACCCAACTAATAACAATCGATGTAAAAGATTCGTCGTTGTATATCCTAAGCATTTAATATGGTATATATTATACTTATTACATATGTTAATGATCAACATATGTAATAAGTATAATTCGCTTAATTTTGAAAATCGGTCAAACATTAAAAAAAAAACAAAAAAAATATGCAGACGAATTGATAACCTCCTCTTTTGTTTTTGAAGTCGGTTAAAAATACGAGTGTTGTTACAGGTATATTCAGCCAAAACGAAATCTTTGAACTTTAGTGGAATTTCCACTTCTTCAAAACGTTTGAATACTGTTTTATTCGCTCCAACAGACTCATTCCTAGCCTTATACAGACTAGTCTTTATACTAGATAACAGGAGGAACAGAATCTATTAAATCTAGTCCTATATCACCCATATCTGCTACGCTGTCTTTATAGTTGAGGAATAGGTTTGTCAGAATTGCTAACAGCGTATTTATCGACGTATATAAGTTCTACGTCTTTTGGCATAGACATAGACATGTTTAAAGTCAGGATATACGCCAGCGTATGCACGAAAATTATATAAGAGTATCAATAATTTTTAAATAATCACTGTTAATAAATGACATGAAATGGCATTTAAAATATTCTATTTGTTAATATACTCGTACAAAGATACGACAGAAGTGGCGAACATAATTATCAATATCTTAGTTAGTTAGTAATAATCCCATTTATTTCCTTCTGTAGTTATGCTAAAAGGAATGATTATAGTAAATCAGTTGTGCTTACATAGGAACACATACATAGTTGGTCCATGAGAAAAACGGGGTCGGAGGGTCACAAAGCTCTAAAATAACCCATTGCCTTAACTTTTTTTTTTAGGCAAAAAACAATGTTAGCAATCTTTAAATGTCTACATCATTTTTCGTGCCATTTTATAAAAAAAGCAAAAAATCAAAATATTTCAAACCGTCAGATATAAAATACCCTGCAAAATGATCGTCAGGTTTTTGGCTAGTATGACAAGAACATCAAGCTGAACCGTCTGTATAAAATCTAACACGCTCGTGTATTTCGAAATGGCGATTTTTCGAATTTTTAGTTTGCATTTTTGATAATTCGCTACCTGCATTTTTGGCATTTAAATTACATTTATTTTTTTATTTATTTATTTAGATACATTCACAATATTACACGGGAATATACTCCCAAGGTAATATTGCAAGCTTATAACTAATAATCTGATTGTCTAAGAATCTAAATTGCATAATTTTAATAAATGATTTTAAACAAATTAATATAGATAGAAATAATGAATTTAAATTATTTATATGTCAGAAATAACGCAAGTTTGTGCTACTTCTGTGAATTTCGACAGGCTACAGTTATAGATGTCTATATTTGCCGCAATAACATTAATAATACGTATGGCACGCGACAAGGGGGCAAATTTGAGCATGTTGTTTCTCGCCACCGGCACGCTGAGTGCTGCTAAGCGGCGACGCTCGCCTACGCATCCGTTGGGGGCACATAGCCGTAGGCACGCCAGCACGGCCGGGTGGTGCCACTGACCGCGCAGCACGCGCCACACATAGCACGCTAGCGCGACGTCGCGCCGCACGCTCAACCGCACGTACCCTACCATGTCGAGTACAAACAAACTGGAGTACATCAGTGGGTACAAAGGGTACACTCCATATTATTTAAAATACAAAAATCGAGCGAATTTGTTTTGTATTTTTTCCACCATAAGGCTATACTTCGCCTTATTTGACAGCCATTATCTGGAATCCCCCCAGATAATGGCTGTCGACTCAAGATGACTCGGAACAAGTGCGTTATATAATATTCTCACGGCTCTTGTATTCTCAAAATCTTTACAGTTTCTTAAAATGAACCCTAAATTTCTAAACGCCTCACCGCAGATGTTTACAATGTGTTTACGAAACGTCAGCTCAGGTACCATTTCAACCCCTAAGTCACGGGTACAACCTAAGCGCGGTATCAATACATCGTTCATACTATAGATATAGTGCAGAGGAGTCCTCGCCCGTGTATAACTCATTACTCCGCACTTAGCTATGTTAAAATGCAGTTTGTTAGTATTGCTCCACTGCACTACCCTATCCACATCACCTTGCAACCTCTCCGCGTCCGACGCGTCTGCTATCGACAAATACACCTTAAGGTCATCTGCAAACAGCAGACACTCGGCATGTTGGACTATCCTCTGACATCCTACCTCAAAATATCTGATGCTCCCGAATTTTACTTTCGATTTCTTACCTTTACATTTTTGAAAACCTGTAGAAGTTTTTCTCACCGATGAAAGTGGAAACATTATAAGGCTTTCATTCTTTTACCTACTCTTTCAAATGCAATAGGTTGCCATGACGTATGAATATTGAACTTGGCTCTCATTTCACATTTATGTTTTTGAGGGGATTAATAACAACAGAAGCTGACAATATTAATTTTAAAAACTCTAGATCTGTCAATTTAAATGTATCTTGTATCTATTTTTTGTTATTTGGGTTCTAGATTATATGTTTTTAACCGTTTAAGTTGCAAATGCTTTTACTTTTACGAAATCATAGAATGACATTGTGTGATTGATTGGAATATTTAATTAAAATAATTTATTTCATTTTATTCTACTTGAAATTTAATGTAGACATTATTGAACACTTATTCCTGATAGTCCCAATGTAGTAGTATTCTAATATTTTATTTTTATATAAAGAGTCCCATAATTATTACCAATAAAACAGAATATTACAGAACAAAACCAAAAATGATAATACATGTAACAATAATAATTTTAATAATAACAAAAACATGAGAAACATGACGAAATGTACATTTAAGTTATTAATAAATAGGTCAATAAATATGTTTAATTCAATTATAAGCAAATGTTAATTAAAATTATTATTATTAAAAAAAAGAAATCAGGCGCCCCTGCTTCAGCGAACATGTTAGAAGCACTGCAGTATCTCGGATACTTCATGAGTGTTCTATAGGCATCGTTGTACTTAGAGTAATCAAGAAGGATTTATTAAATTGGGCCATAGTTGACACATAAAATCTCGGACAGTACTTGGGCGTTAAAGACAGATTTCTTAGCCTCAATACTACTAGCCACAAACTTTCTAGCAACTATGTTGCACTTTACAGGGAGTGGTCTTCTCTGCCCTTAATGTCCGAATCATATGAGAGTCTGTCAGTGAGAACATAATCCAAATACTTGAGTGTTTGCCTTTAAATGTTTGCTTTCACAGTGTGCATAGTACATTGAATCATTAACATCTTTTAAATGTGAATTACATATGTGTGCATAATGTAATACTTGATTCATAGATCTGTGCTCCATACTACCATATTACCTCTTTTTAACTGCTGATTGTTCGCACTGGACTGAATACTGTAAGTGCTCTTAATG